ATTCATACTGGAAGTGATACATTATTATAAATGTAGTGATAGAGCATTACTGTAATATACCGCATTATAGTGCAATCCATCAAATCAGAATATATCAACAGTAAACTACAGTATGTGTCTTTATTGTCAAAATTACTAATGATGCAAGTTATCTGAATAATCTACTCTTGTTACCAAATTGTTTCCTTTTCAGAATAAGAAAGCATAAAAGTGGCTTTGAAAACATCACTGAATAATGGCCCTTAGCTTGGGGACGCTTTCACTCGCTCTCTGCAGTGAACAAACAACTGCCCCATGTTTTTTTTCTTCTTATACCAGGTTCAGAAAGGTTTGCCGACGGAGAAATATTCTCAGGAATGGCATGTCTCCTTGTATTAGTTGGCTGGACGCTCATCGCATTGACTGTGCACTGCAAACAATGTCTGTCTATCGAGCCACTCCACCTCACACTTTTGCTATTTTACAATTGAAATGGGGTGAGATATTATACAAGCTAAAAAAACATTAAAATAGGCAAGTATTTGTCGTCCACTGCTGCCGTCCTGTATATACTACACTGCACTTTATTTTGAAAAATGCTGCATAAATAAGCTTTAGTTCCCCTTTCATCTTGACTCCTCAGAATTTAAAGGCAACTAACCTTCTCACCTGCGCTCTCATGTCTCCCTAAATAATCTGTGGCTCGGTAAATACAGCAAACCATATGAGTGAGATATCCGCCCCTCCTCCACATCTCCTCTCCCCTGCTCGTCTTCCTCCTCGCTCCTCTCTAACACCTCCTCCTCGTGATGAAAGGAACGCAGCACTAAAGATGACAAACAACTCTGTCATCTCACGGTAATAGTGAATATGAAAGCACAGGAAGTCAGGGCATCGTAATGAGCGCTATAAAATCACAAGATATATCGTGCAGTGTGTTCCGGAGTACACGTGCTTAAAAAAAGAAGAAAAGAAAATTAGATGTATATATTTTGAGAAAATGTCTCACGACTGAAGATGCATATTATTTCACAGGGAAGCAAGTATATTTTATTTATGAATATGAAGCATGGGAAATCACAGTACATGCTATATTATTCAGTCGTACCTCAAAAACCCTGTGCTAGCACTCCGCTGCTTCTCAGTCTGCATCAACACTACCCTGATACGTCTGGCGTCCACACTACTGCAGTTTTAGAGCTGCTAAAACAGAAAACTTCGGAACGCCGTTGGCCCTGTTTTAGTTGGAAAACTCTGTGGCTTTGTTTTAGATGTTTCGAAATTAAATCTTAGACACTCGCAACCACTTGCTGGTTGGGTCTGTCTCGTTCACGACGTAGCCTTCGCGTGTCACGGTGCTATCACATGACCCCCTTCTGTACGAATTCTGTACAGGGATTCAAGCTGATATGGAAGCCAAAACTAAAATGTAGTCGTATGAATGTAGCCTCAGATGATTCCCCCAGCAGCCATTATACTGCAATTAGTGTTGAACGGGAGGTGACTGTGTCCCGTGCACGCACAGCTTTCAAATGCCAAGTGGCGACAGCAGAGAGCCTGGCTGTCTCCGTGATGCAAGAGCCAGGGGACATCTGGGAATGTCGAGTCACTGACGGGGGGGTAGTCACAGAAGGAGGCAAGGCCGAGGCAATGGGGGGGTGGGTGAGGATAGGCAGGCATGGGTGCAGGTTCGACTGGGAAAAGAGGGAGGCCAAGTGGGGAGACGAGGCCGGTCAGGTTGAAGGTTGAGGGAGAGGCGCCGACAGGGAGGCTGCCAATGTAGAGACGGATGAATAAAAAGTGGTTTCCCTCGACTGAGGGGAGTGTGGACGATGCATTCTGTCAGGTCTCCAATCTGTCAGCAGAGTGCCTCCGGTCCCCTCGGGCCACATAACGCCGGCCTGCCTCATTTTGCGCTCTCATCCACTCACGTACCATGTCCTCATCCACCCTCTTGTCCCCAGCAGTGTACTTCACTGCACAGCCATTTTTTTTCTCTTTTTGTTGCCACAGGGATATAAAAAAAAACGCTTGGTTGTTACGCATTTGGCACTTTCTGGGTCAAACTATTAAAGAAATCTAGAGTTTAGGATTGTGCTGATGATGTTAAAATGTTCGCTTGAGGCGATTACACGATTCCTATATTATCTAGAATGAACTGAAAACCATTGGCCATGTTGTGTTTGAGAGTGTGGAGTGGAGGCTTTGTAAAGTAGAGCTGCAGTGTCATCTGCTGGAAGGTACGAGGCATTGCACCCAGGTCTATCGCAAAAAGTAAAATTTTACAGTGTAATGACATTTATAAATATGACTTGAAATTTACTATACAGATAATTTTATATAACTAATAATAATAGTAATAGTAATAATGCATCATTATAATAACTTATAATTTATAAGTATTTGATAGTAATTGTCGGCATAAGAACATTTATAAATATAATATAAAATAAGATATAGTATAACAGAATTTATAATGATAATATGATATTATTATTATTATATCAAATATTAACACCATTGAATATAATTGTTTTTTATACTGTCATTTTGTACTTTATATCCTCTCTTCATTATTTCCTCTTTGTTACATTTTGTTATTCTCTTTGAGGACTGACACTGGAGGACAGGAAGCTTGTGTTGAATGCTAATGTGGGACTACATACACCCTATGAGATTATCTCTCACATGATGGTGTGATCCTTATTATAGTTTGCCTCTCATTTACACATACTGACGCACAAAATCAACTGAAACACACTGTAATGTAATGTGAGAAGACATCTGAGGAGAGCGCCAGCGTCATGGAGGATGACAGGCGCTTGTTTTAGTCGAGACACGAGGATCAGGGTGCGATTGAGAGAGTCAATTAACTCGTCTTCTTCAGGGACCTGCAGCAACCTGATATAAACCAGGGTAAAAGCTGTACCAGCCTTCTCACTGCTGAAAAACATGGAATCACTTTTAGGTCAGACACCTCGAGGGCAAAAACATTGTTATTTTGTGCACTGGTCAATATTTGGATATTGGGTGTCTTTGCTTCCAGAACATGTTTTTCTTTCTAACTAGTGGACAAAATACACATATAGGAGTCTAATGGTGTATGTCAATTACACTGACATACACAAAACTGTCTAATTTTATTCCTATTTATATTCCGAAGAGGTTTATATTTAATTCATAGCTTTTGCATGCATATTATATTCCTAAAAACAAAAAAAGAATACTTTATATCGCTGTTGACAGTGTTTTTATAATATATGGAGTAATAAAAATAGGGACACAACATCCCCTGTAAAAACCATTGGCTCTAATACCATGTCAGTAAAATATAACACTTGGCTTTTCCAATGTTTAGATGTCGGTTTTGTGGATATATGCAAATTGGTGCATATTTTATCATAAAATGCTTGATTTGCATATTTTAAAATACATTTTCAAAAACCTATAATGCAAAGAATAATAGCCTTAGTGTAAATATTTAACTGGGGAGGTTTCAGGGCAGCATCTGTTTTTTTTCTTTCTTTGTTCTGTCTTCTCATCGTGAAAAGTCTTCCATTTAAAACAAGTCTTGATTTTTTTTATGTACATAACATGTAATTTAAATTTCTTAATGTGAATTAACAACTTTTACAGAATATAAAAAACCCACACAGTTCATATTAACTCATATAGTGAAATCTAACTCTGACCTTTTACTGTTACCATTTGTATGAGTAAAATACACATTGTGCTTTATGAAATGTTGATATTTTTAATCTGAAAATGGAAGATTAAATAACAAATTACTGTGATTACATGACTTTTGGATAATACAGACATAAAAACATTTCCTGTACCTCCCACTGTCATTAGGGCTCCACATTATAAAACCCTCAAAGTACATATAGCATGCAGCCCCATACCTCTTCCTAGTGCGTCAATAATGAATTTATCCTCCCTCCATGTTGTCATGTGAATCGTCTAACATGTAGCTTTGCACCACGGAACAACTTCAGCACATCAGGATTCTGCCCACGGTTCTGACTTTCTTCCCGTCACTGCTGCCTCTTGTCTGCACACACCAGAGTGACTGTGCCAGGTTTGTACTGAGTCGACCTCAGAGCAGTGCCCAGTGAAAGAGAAGCTTCTTTCATCTGCTGCTGTTTTAGCTCTGGCTCAGGGTCAGTCTTCTATCGGAGCTTATAAAAGGTCAACACACCCCAGACGAGACCAAGAGACTTTTACTGGACTGCAGTGTCACAGTTCTGCCACAGTGAAGGACGCTGACACAAGTCTGCTCGTGGGGGTGTAGCAGATAATATGTGTAGAGTGATACAGCACATTAAGAACACTGTATTTATCAGTGATCATACCAGTGTTCATTTTGAAACAATGACTGATTTCTTTGTCCCAGACAATAATAAATGGATCTTGAAGAAAACAAAATCAGGCATTTTCAGAGAACTGATATATGAGTGTGTTCAATTAGGTATATATATATATATATTGAGCACCATAAATCTATATCTTGTCTTTTTGTTTTGCTTTAGGATTGACCATGGCTACATCTGGCAAATTACCATCCATCAGATGCTTGCTGAACTTCTCATGTGTATGTGGGGATGGAATCATAGACAAACGTGAGTACACAACATAACATAGTAAGTCAAATGAGCTGTGGGAAGAACTGTATTATTTGCTGTAGGAATTTAACTTCACTCCAACTCCTGTCAACAGGCACGAAAAGCTGAAATGATAAATTAATCTTGAGGGAAGAAGGAAAGCGAGGTTCACAGGATTTATTCACTGAGTAATCAACATGTTATTCTCACATTAAAATATAACATCACAGAAAATGTTAGATTTTTATTTTCTTAAATTATTTGCTTTAAACATGGTCATAATCCAGACTTCATCCCACATGTTAAAAGTTCTCATTGTGACGCAGGTAGTTTAATAATATCTCCATTGTTTCTTTAGTCATGTGAATTTATTTTATTGAAGAAAAAAAAAATCACTTTTTTTCATTACATACACGGTCAAGTTACATTGGGCCCATAAAAGCATCAAATGTACACACATCATACACATACTGTAACTCTGCATTAACTAAGACAACAAGTTCATATAAACTAAAACAAGAAAAGTCTTCAAGTTGCATTTCAATTTTAATGTTTAAATGATTCAAGATAACTTTGTAATTTGTTTGGTGAAAAAACCAAACCACTCTTTGGAACAAGAGGTCACAGACAAATGTTTAAGGGCCAGAGGACATGACAGGTGATGAATTAAGTGACACAAATATATTTCTGCTGAATAAATTAAGTTTATTTGTCATATTATGCTCTAAAGGGGGTTGAAAGGACCAAGAATAATAAGACTTCTCGGACAACTCAACAAACTGGAACAAGTCAAGTCCAGTTCTGACGTTGGCAAATACTTCACGTAGGAAAAATAAAATATCAGACATTTATTTATTTTCTAAAGCGTTCAGAGCTCTTCACCCTCAATTACAGCTGTTAACTAAAAGATTAAATAACAGATGTTTTTATTGCCTCCCACCAACATTTGGTTTAAAGCACCAACCCATTATACTGGTAAACAACAAAATCCAGAATCTCAGAAAATGGAAAATCTCAATGTGGCCAAGAAACTCAAAACTTTCTCCACTACTTTTTTTGGCAAATCAATTATAGCATGAATTCAAATGGTTTGCAAAAGCAGAGCTAAAATAACCCAGGGCTACGTCATACACAATCTCAGCAACTCTGACAGCCGGCTGGAAAACCAATACAATCCCTGAATCTCCACTCGTACCATGTAGATACACGACAGTCTGCTGACCGTCATGGCGACTGAAGGGCATCACTCCTCTCCGACAGATCCAGGAGGACAGCGTTGAGAGAGAGGGACCAGTTTCCTCCACTATTATGATTTAAAATCCATAATTTAATCCAAAATCAACCGTAACCATTTAAATTAAGTGATAAAATCATGAAAATAACAAACCCATCATCTCAGATATATAACCGTTTATAATTTCAGATACCTGAATAACACTCACACACCTACAAAATGTGGTTTTCTTCTTTCATTTCTTGTTTCCCCTCTTTGCTTTTCCCACTGCCGCCAACCAGGCTTGTCTAATGACTGTTATTAATATTATTACATATCAATATCATTTCCATCTTCCTATCTTTAATAAACTCAAATCTACTTTGTATTTTTATCATTATATTTAATCATAGTATTACTTATATATTACGTTCATAATGTTGGTATTTTGATCTGCACTGACTGGTGTTGTGTGTGTGTATTGTGTATTTGTGCTTGTGTGCATATACATGTGTGTGTGTGTAAAGAGCAGGAGAGCATAAGAAAAGAGCACACACTCACCCATTTGTTTTTTTCTTTACTTTTTAGTGGCAGGTCAGCCAGTGTCCATCATGTGTCTGCAAGGGTGGGAGAAACAAAAAAACAAAGAAACACCTCCCATCTCCCCAGTGTTGCAGATTCTGACATGCACCGAACTCTGCAGATACTCTGTATTTTCTCCAGAGGACTTTTAGCGTTCACATGTAGGTGCACGTGTGAATGCTGAAAGTCCGAGGGAGAGGCTCCGGATTATCTGCGGTATTTCTGTGCCTGGCCTCCTAGTAGAAAGTCAGGAGAGTTCAGGAGAAAATGATGACACTTCTAACAAAGAACTGAAAAAAACAAAACAACAATCGCCTCCCGGTGAAAAAGCGGTGAAACACACTTTAAAGACACAGACTAAGATATCAAGATAGTTTGTAGTGAGAAGAGCGGACATCTGGTGTCTGTGTGTTGTAAAGAAAATCATGTGATTGTTATGTGACTTTAATACGTCACTTCCTGCCTCTGTCTGCTGCACCTCTTGCCTCATCTCGCCTGATGCTGTTGTGAACTGTGCAGAGAACCTCCTGTGTTGTGCATGAGTGAAAGGAAAATTCTGGGTAAACTCTGTAGCCAGTTCTCCAGACTTTTCCTGCAGGTCATGTCTGAAAACTGCTGAGGTTTCTTTAAAGTAACTCACACTGTGTAACATCTTTTACCCTCATGCCCAGTAGTCTCAGCTCAAAGTAACGTTCGCCCCACTGTAGAATTGTACGTGTGTACATGTGATGTTGTGTATTTGTCTTACTTCATTACTAAAATTAAACGGAACAAAGGAGGAGAAAAGAAAAAAAGCATGAAAACGAAAAACCAACCTCTCCCTGTTTGAACTGGTTATGAGAGATAAACAAAGGGTGTGACAAGTGGACAATGCTTTTCAATATGAAGAATCCATGTTAGTTTCAATGCTACGCACCGCACTCTTCAACACCTTCTCTTTTCTTTGCAAACTCTCCCCCCACCCCCTTATCCATCGCGACGTGGTGTCTCCTCCACTTATAAAACCACCAGCACCCCGAAAACACGTAGAGCGCAATGAATGCCGGGAAATCGTAGAGGAAGAGGATGGTGAAGAAGCCGGCGACTAAAAGGGTGCACAGCAGAAGTCTGCTGAGGTGATGCAGCACGTGCAGACTCCAGCGTACAAGATCGTCAGACTCTTTTAATTTCTCGGAGGGGAAAGTGGGGTGTTTGTGAAATTGTTGGGCCGATCGATTGAAGTCTTCCGTTTGTCCACCTGTCTCCTGACGGGGGATGGATCTTTTTCTTATTTGAGAAACGTTTTCCTGCTCCTTTGCAGAGCTAATGGTTCGGGCTGATTCAGTCAATGAGGCGTTGAGCTCTCGAGCGGGATGAGCACTTGAATCCAGATCTGTCGTGTGATTTTGATTTATTGTGTCGAGCGACTGACGACTTCCTTCTGGGGAGTGTTCTTTGCTACTTGTCTCTATCGCTTCCTCTTGGCCTTGATGGATTCTTGGATTTGGATCGGTCAAGGAAAATAAACCTTTCTCAAAAAGAGGCTGGCGGTCACATGTAATATCTGCCGGGCTGGCCTTCATATTCACGTCCCACGCTCTCCGACCGAACACCTCCTCCCAAATCCTCCTGACGAAATCCTCACCAAATCTTTCAATGAACGCCTCCTCCACCCTCGACTCAAGTGCCACAGTCTTTTCTGCCACAGCCAGGTCTTTTGTTCCCTCTGACAATTTCCTACATTCAACATGTTGAGGGTTCTCAACTTTCTCTCGCTCTTTCAATTCACCTGATGTGTTCTTCCTCTTGACCCAAGGGTCCTCCACGTTACCCATCGACCCCCTTATCGCTTCTGTTTTCAGCCTTCTCTCATCTTCGTCTCTCAGCCTCATATTCTCCTCTACTCCTTCTATTGTGGCAGGTTGGCGTCGAGGCTCTGTTTGAGCATCGATGTTCTCCTTCACCGTAATTTCCTCGGGGCTCATTTCCCGGCCTGCGCCCTCTCTCCGACCCCTCATAACATCCTGTGATGATTCCAATCTCAATTCCTCCACCTCTGTTGGGTTCAGGATGTGTCTATCTGCTGGAAAAGTGTTACTTTGAAGGACCTTTATCTCCACATTGTGTGTGCTCTGCGCTGGTGGGTTTATTTCCTGTCGCTCCACGTTTATTCCACTACAACTCAACCTGTCTTTTCCTTCTGTCATTTCATTTATACGTTGATTTTTTTCCTCCTCTTTCCCATCATACAGTTCCTCTGCTGCTCGGGTTGGACTCAACTGTTTATCATGCACTTCTGAAAGTACCGACGCATCTTCCCTCTGCCAGGCCGATGATTTTAGTTGTACATTTTTGTTGTAATGTCGCCACGCTCCCTCTAATTCCTCACTTATCAGTCTCTTTGTATCTTTTCTATAATATGTATGTTCCACCTGCATGTGTCTGAATCCCTCCTGGTCTTTCTCACTCGATTCCACATCTTTTTCCAATTTGAATTCACCTTCTATTATTGGGCTCGGCCTGATATTTTCCTCCCATGTTTGGTTTGGATTGAATTTGTGTGCGTGCATCTGCGCAGGTCTTATTTCATTTTCATCTCTCTCGTTCTCCATTAATGGATTTTCACTCTTTGGGTTCAGCACGAATTCCTCGCTGCGTTTTTCATCTGTGTACCTCTGGGAGATTTCACACGCCTCTGTTTCACGCTGCCTAAATATCTTCTCCTCTGTAGATGCTTGATTTTCCGTGCGGTTTGTCATGATCCTTCCCTCTCCTGCTCTTTCTCTGGACGTGGAGAAGACAAACCTCTCCCCGTCCTCTGTCCCCTGTCTGATTGTCTCCCTAAATGCCAGCGTGTCACTTGTCGCATTGTGTGCGGTACCTGTATCCTCCCCTTCCCCACAAGAAGAAAGACCCTCGTCCAGCCTCGCTCGCTGTGAGATCCTATCAACAGCGCTGGCATTCTGAGACTCTGGCGTTTCTATCATGTCTGCTGTCTTCGACTCCCCTGAGCTTATTACTAAATCGGCCGCGTGCAGTGTGACATGCTCATCTGTGCCTGCTCCTTCTGCTTCTCCTCTTTTTCCCACTCGCTGCCAGATTGTAAGCATGTGACACTCAGTTGAACTGTCAACAGATCCCCCGGATACAGGCTTCACCCCCTCGAGACTAAATTCCTCTGGAGTGTGTGTTACAGAGTTCGTCTGCGCCCTTTGGGATGCATCTTGGGTCGCCGTGTTGTCACAGACACACGCCTCCGCATGTGGCTGGTGGTCGAAGCTAGATGATGTCGCCGCCGAGGCGAAGGTGGTGGGTGGATCCATGCCCACCTGAACTTCTTGAAATGCTTGACTGCTTGCCGAATATTGGGGCTCTCTGTGATTTGAGGGAGACACCAACGCCGCTGTTTGCAGCCATTCTGCCTCCGGGACACCAGAATGGTCCTTACGACTCGGCTGACTTAGAAATTCCTGCCACACGTCACACACCGAGGTGTCTTTGTGGTCCTTATCGTCTGGGCTGTTAAGAAAGCTCTCCCAGAGATCATTAACAGAAGGCGTATCCTCTATATTTTCCACGGACGCTTTCGGCCTGGTCAGCTTGGCGTTCCCTGCCCAGATGTCATCCATGTCAGCAGCCCCCCACTGCTGCGGCGTATCGCTTTTCCAGTCCAGTGTGAGCAGAGGAATCTGATGGTAGGTGAGGATCCGCGGACTGTCGTTTGGCTTTTTCTGGCGGTTGTAGCGATTGCTCACAGAGTCACACCATGGAGTTGGCACAGGCAGAGAAATCTGGCCACCAGCTGAGTCACATGAATAAACCCGTGGTGCTTGTCTCCTCTGGGAAGGGTGGTCCTGCACACGCGCCAAACATGCTCCTCTGTGCCAAATGTTTATGCCGTCCACCTGTCAGGAAAGGGCAAAGGTCAAGTCAAGTGTTTAATGCTCGAACTACTAGGAGCATAACCGGAGGCCACCAGCACAAGCTTTTGTTCGTTTTTAAGGTCATCGTCTCCTTTAAATCTCAAAACCAGCTTCATGACATAAAATGTGTGCAATGGCCCATTCAATTCATCGAGTATTCTTTCATATAACATTACTGTGGTGATGCAACTGGCTGTAACGCTGCTGCAACCTCAGCACACAAGACTGTTTTCCATTCATCAACTTTACTGCACGTTCACAAGCAGTTTTGCATGTATTATTAACATTGTGCACGTGAGTGATTTCAGACAGGCTCTCAAGTGTCAGGTCAGCTGAGGCTCCGGATCCTTCTCGCTCAGCTGCTGTGCAGCGTTACGTGCATCTCTCTGAAAGGCCACACTCTTATTTAGCCCTGATTGTGAGTAGTTTTTGTGGTAAACGGTAGCTCTGACTGTTGTTTACGACAAGAATGAGTCTGTGACCTCACCAAAGGTTTGTGTCCTTCGTGGTGTAATAACGAGTTTGACTCTGTGATGTTCGCCGTCTGTCTGTCGACCTCCTGTGCTTTATGAGAGGCTTGTGCTCCTGCAAAACAAATGACAAGAGTTTAAGTTTGCCTGCACACTCATACACACATATGTAGACATATGGAAATGCATGCATGCACACACTGAAACCTGGAGTACACACACCTCCAGAAAGTGTCGCTGTGATATTGAACTCCTTGGTCTTTTCCTCTGCACCCCCCCTCCTGTAGTTCAAAAAAGACAGTACATGAGCTCTGCAACATGTTTGCAGACGATATATAGCTACTGCATTACCTTAGTATTATACAACCAAAGGACTCTCATTATAGTGTGATTTTTTTTTTTGCTGTTGCTATTCTACATCTCTCCTGGACTATACCTGCATCAGTGCTGACCCTCTGTTACACTGCTAAATAAACTATTCCTCTTGTCTCAGTGCAGTCAGCTTGTATTTTTTTACAGTGAAAGCAGAACACACAGAAAAAATACACAGTTTTTTTCCCAAAGCAAAAAAAAAAAAGGGATTATGTCGACAAAGAGGATGAAATATGCACATCTGTCTCTCCTAGCCACACTGAGACGTCATGGAAAAGCCGGACAGACACCTGACCTTAAATGGGCAATATGTGTTCTACAGCTCAAAGACCCATCACTGAAAAGTTACACAACTGCTTACAGTAAACACACACAGGCCCAAAGCCAGCAAGCAACATTAACTGGTGCTTTATTGGCAGAAATCGAATTCATCAAATAATCCTGGTGATGCTTTCACTAGTGTGTTTCATCTAAATTGTACGAACTGATGTTTACCTTATCCTAAAATAGGCCCCTTATATCAAAGTAATTTATGTTTACATCGGGAGTGGGTCGTCTCTATGGAGGCCGCCATGTTTTTTACAGTAGTACAAACTGGACAAACTAAACACCTTTTGAGTTTTTTATGGTTCTCCTTCATGTTTGGAAAACGAGGATGAGGTGAAGGTTATTCAGCTGCAACATGAAACTTCACCACTAGATGTCACTAAATTATACACACTGAAACTTTAAAGAGTAACTGTTGCTAATTGAATTTGAGTCCAAACCATTTTATTTGAATCCTGATTACGATAAAACACTATGTATTGTTCACACGTGTGGGTGACATGACTTCCTCCAGCAGTGGCATGTTTAATAAAATCTCCAGCATCACATTCTCTCACCTGTTCGCTTTGAGGCAGCTCCTCTTGCTCTTGTAGCCCCAGCTCTCCTCAAGGACCTGAGGCCCGAGCTCCTTCGCTTGTCCTCTCTGATGGCAGAACAGCACATAGTTCAGGTCCTTGTTGTTGGCCCAGAAGGTGCCCGCTGTTGTTTCGTAGCGCAGGCAGAAATCCACCCTGGTGCCCTCTCTGTCGAAGGGAGGAATCAGAGTATACTTGAAAGCAAATCCGTCTGTTTCCCTGTCACTGGATCCGGGCACGTACTCCGCAAGCAGGTCAAAGTAGCTGCTCCAGCAATCCAGGCTGATCCTGGCATAAACAGACTTGCTGTAGCCGAGGTTGACCACTCTGATGATGCCGCGGAGCATGGTGGTTCCTGGGAGAAGCTCGATGCTCTCCAGCTCTACCATCTGCGCCTGTAGCTTCTGGGCCAGCTCCTCCGGGGATGATGGGACTGTAAACAGACAGGACATGTAGAACTCCTCCAGAGGAAACGCAGCCTCCCTCTCAGGAGCCCGGCTGACCTCTGACACCGTCACCTCAACATTGTCAAACTCCTTCACTGACACCAGGTTGAGGCCGAATGCATCAGCGAATGACACCTTCCTGCAGACAACAGACGGGGGCTCTGGTTCTGAGTCCTCATCTGTGTCCTCGTCCGTGGTGGAGCCCCTGGGAGATGAGGCCTCCCTTCCTCCCTCTTCCTGTCCCCCACTCCTCTCCAGCTCCTCTTCCTCCGTCACGAAACCATCCTCTTTCAAGGGTCGGACGTACAGAGCCTCCATAATGCTCGATGGTCTGAGAGGCAGCTGTCGGCCTGTCCTGCCGTCTGTGTGGCTGGGAGGGTGGCACAGACCAAAGTGCCCCGAGCCTTGCTGCAGTGATACTGTGGAGGGGAGAGCGCAGAGGGGACGTGACTTGACAGATGGAGTTAGGTTACAGCTGAACATTGTGAGCCTGAGCCAGACCTATTAATAGGACACATATAACTAGAGCATGGCGGGCCAGTCATCCTCTCAGTGATCCGCTCACAATTTGTTTGCTAGTTACAAAGTAAATACACGAAAAATAAAGCACTTCAAAGTAAAACTGATGTATGAAAAGGTTCATATTGTTGACGAGTCAATACTGCAGATGTGAAAATATTCCAAAACTTTACTACATTAGTGGGGAAGATGTGAATTTAAAATGGTACAGTACAGTATCTTCTTGTCTGCATGATGGTGCAGCAATCACATCAACCAAAATCCACACGTGCTGTTAATATATATATCTTCCTTAAATAAGCAGATTTATCTGCATCACTGTTATTAAGTGCTTTTCTCTGATTTTAAATCATTTAATTAAAATGTGATCTACCCTTTGACTCTTCACTTAGAGCTTGACAGCTTTAAGCTTTTATATAATATTCCATATAATAATTAATATTGTTTCCATTTTAGGTGAATCGGCCTCCTTGCTAGATAGATAGATGGATAGATGGATGGATAGATGGATGGATGGATGGATGGATAGATGGATAGATAGATACTTTTTCGTGGATATTGAATAAATGCAGCACCTTTTCCATAATACCCTGCATGATTCATTGTTTGGACAAAATATTAACATATATTTGCTTCTTTTGTCAAGTCCTACAGTAAAAAACATGGATTATTATTATTATTGTTTTTGTTGTTGCTTATTGTTATCATTGTGTGACATTTTGCTAATGAAGCCCTTCAGTTATTATGGAAGAAAACACAACATCTATTTTCTAGTGTGCCGATCCATCGAAGGCATTTACATATGAGGCCGTGCAGAGTCGATCTGTTACTGGAGGAGCTCAGTCCAGGCCCTTGAGTTAGAAACGTGTGTCCAACACTGTGTCAACACGTCCGTTGCAGGAGCTGATGCTGACCACTGACCCTCCATGTGCAGAGAGCAGGGAAAGACTTTCCTCCATTGAAATCAATAATGTGTCAAATTATGTGTGTTGGCATTTGATATCTGCAGATCCTCTCGCCTTCGTTTTTAGGGTTCACTGCATCTTAGAACAGAAGACTGGACATGATTGTGTTGTTCTTGGCAGACTGTGTGTGTGTGTGTGTGTGTGTGTGTGTGTGTGTGTGTGTGTGTGTGTGTGTGTGTGTGTGTGTGTGTACACCAGCCTCTCAGATAGGAAGTTTAATTTCACTAATCCTTGACTTGCAGTGTAACCATACCCCCAAAATCCAGTAGATCTTGTAAACAGACTTAAGTGCTGGTTATCGGATCCTTCGCAGGTAGATGAGCTGCTTTTTCATCCTCAAAAGACTCATTGTTTTCTAAATTACTAACTCAAATACTTTCTCCTTTAACCTTTAATTGCGGCGTTGGCCTTAAAATAGCATAAGAAGTTCTCATCTGCAGTTTTTATGAAGGATCCAAATCTGCTAATAGTTAAATAGAATCATTCGTAATGCATAGAGGCTCCCATTCACACAAAAGATGAATTTACAATTTAGTTCTTGCTTTTTTAAGTTTTTGCTTTATTCACATTTAAAAAGGATGTGGAAAAAAAATACACTTACACAAATATTTGCTTGAAAAGAAAATATTACATTTTTACATTTGTTTGTCGACCTCTTGGAATCAAGAGGACAACTTGTACGTTTAATGTTTGTCAGTAGATGGCGCTATATGATCAAGAGTCAAATAAACCAGAATTGAAGCCAAATAATTTAGCATTTTAATCTTGTAATTTGTGTGTGATAATAACCTGCAAGTTTGCAGACGGCCTGAGAGAAGAACATAATTCGATGCTGCAGAAAATGAATTGTAAGAAAATGTCCCAAGTTGTTGTTTTACAGTCTTTTGTCTTTAACTGTTGGACATGCTTTACCTTAGAGAGGCGTCGTTACAAACATTGACCGCTAGGTGTCAGCAAAAGACCACACTTCCCTTGCACCTGTTTTCCTTTCCCATCCGGATCGTGTCCCAGATGTTTGCTGGGATGATGGGATTCTTTTATGATTAGCAATTACGATATATTGCACAAACACACAAGAATATATTTTAAAAACACACACTAGATATGAGCTAGTCCGATAAATCTGTTTTTCCAATATTTTCAAACAGGACAATGCATTTTTTTCCCATCACATCTAATAGAAAATTGACTTTTCTGGCCAATTTTAATACATTATGAAAATAAGGCAATTCTTCGAAAAATCCAGTCTGTCCACTATTCTATGAAATAGTA